TTGGGCCATGAGCAGTACTAATTAAGAGTAAGCTGCTTCCAATGGCCCAACTAGGTTATATGGTTGGTCTACCAAATTGTGGTGTCGATATACCTTCAGTCATTTGGTCGAAGCCGACTGAACTAAACAATCCTTTCATCATCGCCCGGGGAGGTCGTTTGACAACAATTTGCCTAACATACACCATCGGGTGCAAACTCGTGTTGTTAAAGTTGAGGCGATTGAAAAGCATGGTAGGCAATAGACAGATGCAGATATACTCGTATTTGATTCCTTTATGTGGTGGTTAGATCCGAAATTGACACTTAGTACATTCCAAGAATACAACGCGAACTCTTGTTTCTTTTTTCGTTTTCTTCCCCATATACTGTGATTATGATACTGAATTGGTGATCAGATGGGGATCATTTGGAAGCTCTGATGCAATCTACAAAGAAGTCGGGATGATGCATCGCCAATATGAAATGGCTTTGAACACATGGTCAGACTGGTTGGAGTTCCACATTAATAGAACTAGAACAAAGTTGTTTTTCATGAGCCTGTCGCCTTATCACAAAATGTATGTTAACCGATCTCTTTGGTTACAAAGAAAACTAGGGTTGCACTACAGAAATCTGTTGAAATGCTTGTAATCTAACGTGATTTGTTAAAACTGCAGAGGTAATGATTGGGGCATGGATAGAGGTCGAACTTGCTACAGTGAAACTAAGCCAATTTTGAACGAGGGATATCAGGGAAGTGCCACCGATGGTAGAATGATGCAGATAGTAGAATCAGCAATACAAAAGCTCGAAACAAGAGGTTTAAAGGTAGAGTTCCTCAATATAATACAGTTGTCAGATTGCAGGAAAGATGCTCACCCTTCTATCTATAAGAAGTTTTGGGTGCCTCCAACTGAAGAACAATTAGCAAAACCTGATAACTATTCAAATTGTGTGCATTGGTGTCTTCCAGGGGTGCCTGATGTTTGGAATGTTATCCTCTATTCCTACATTTTGCATTCATGATTGTTCATTTATTACAAGAGCCAGAAAAATTTGATAATTTGTTGTGGATATTTTGACTGAAATTAGTTTTTCATCTCAAAATGTTAATAATATTCATTCCTTAAGTGCTTATTTCGTTCAGAGATGCTTGTTCAGTTGAGACACCTAGAAACAACATTTTTTTGTTGTTTATTCATTCAATTTCGATTGACGTGTATGCGTGTGAAAACTCATGCCAACATATTAAGATCATGTTAGCTCAACACCCGACCCAGAGTAGTCAAATATTTCCTTACTTCGCT